CGACTGCAAGGCATTGTGGGGCAGCATTTTCTCCTCTCCTTTCGTCAAGGGAGGTCCAGTGATTCCTAAGCTAAAGGAGGTTATAAAGGAAGTTTGAAACCTCCTTTCCTATCATCTAGAGAATTCGAACAGCATTTATCATGGCTGCCACTGAGGGACTTCCGGGTCATTTCACTCCGTTAGGAAGGTTCCTAAGCGAAATGGACTATTCGACTTCAGCCATAGTGTCCTGATGTGTCTGCCAGCTGAGCTATAAAGATGTAAACGAAACACCATAAATGTCTCCTTTGAAGTTTGCATTTCCTGAACAAATGTAAGTAAAACACTCTTAGGGAGGGAACAAGGAGAGATACTCTTGGCAGACATTTGTATGCTGGAAAATATCAGCAGTATCTACTTATTTCTGTGGAGAAAAAAATGTCAGTACTAAATGAAAAATATATTTAATGTTTTTTCAGTTTGTGTGCAATTCAAACAAAATATTTTTGGCCCCTTTTCATTTAGTGTGCTTTTTACCTTTCTAGATGGCCGGTCATTTTGCGGTAATAATACCCTGCATTCTGTTAAAGTCATTTTGAGGGTGTTTACATGCATGCTGATGTGAACAAATGCAATTGAAATCAATACAATGTTTTGATTTCATGATATGATATACTCTTTAACTGGTCTTCACCCAGTCACCCAGTGTTATGTCTGAATGTTGTTGAAAGGAGCACTTGTCCCCTAAAACGAACATTTGTATACCAATTACTCACCCTATGTTACCAATAATTCTTTAAAAAAGCTTCGTTTTTTTGGTTTGCCTCAACAGGCCACAAAGATTCAAACAATTTAGAAAAAGTGTGATTAATGGAAGTAAATGGGGTTTATAAAAAGCCTATTAAAACATCCTTTTGCAAATTCTCACAAAACTTGTGCGTTCTATCCAATATTAATAATAATAATAATACATTATATTTCTATAGCGCTTTTCTTGAACCCAAAGACGCTTTACATTATGAGGGAGGGTAGACAAACAAGGACAGGCAAAAACAAACAACAATTATTCATTTATTCAGTCATTTATTCAGTACATTACTTCCCAAACACAAGCATATTTTTCTATTTAACTTATATTAACTGTTTAACTTGTATTTCAGTCATACTGCAACTGGGGTGTCGGAGTTTGTACAGTAAATGTTTGAAAATTGGTAATAGCTGCCCCTATTTATTTACTTTAATTCATCTTGACTTTTTCTCTGTTTTCGATGTTTTCATTAACCATATAAGCATGCGAGGAGAAGCATATAAGTATTAGTTGTAAAATGTACTTAAAGATGGGGTAGGTAATTTTGTAGAAATCAGCTCGAGTGCGCTAGAATTTGAAAATACACAACCGGAGAAAATCTGCCACTTCCTTACAGAGCCCCTCCTCCAACACACACAAACGCACACATGACCAATGAGGGCACAAGATAAGTTTGTGCACAGATGCAAGGCTGACAGGCAGGTAGGCCATCCAGTTACTTTAGCCGGGCCGGCTAAAATGATTGGTCGTGCTTTTTACAGTACTACGGCTTCCACAGATGAATTTTTTTTATGGATTTTTTGTCAAAGCACTTAAGATATTCATTGCTATCGGGATGTTAAGAGCATTCCATGGAATATAACACAAAGTGTATCTCGGGCTGGTTTCTCAAACTTACCTACCTTTAATGTATTTATAAAAAACAACAACATTTGCATTGTGGGATTTATCTCAATTCATGATCTATAATAAACTATATACGTCTTTTAATCTTAATTTTGTTACAATTATGGGGACTGTCAAAATGACTCAGGTCATTTACCTTACATATGCACAGTTTGATTTACAGCTATGCATCATATGTGATTAATGCATCACAAGTCTGTAAATCTAAATTTGTTAAGTCGTGAGCAACTGTCAAAATATGTAGTAAAGTCAAAAGTACAACTGTTTCTAGAAAAGTACAAGTGCAAGCATAAAATGGAAATCCTGAAGTGCAGTTGCATCTTTAGTTGTGTTCATTTAAATGTGTAGTTACATTCCATCGCTGAAAAAAATAATTAACTTTAAACAGGAAGTGACATTTCCATTGTCATAGCTGCTTCCTGCAGACTGTGAAGGTAATGCAATGTGCATGTTCTGGTTCTCAGGTCATCTCAGGCACAGCAGTCCTGTAGATGTGTCCGTTCAATCACTGCAGTCTGATTAGAGGAATTCAGTTGTTAATTAATGAGTGGAGCCAGTCCGGATCAAGCGGGGGTGTAATGAGTACCCTGGAGTTTTGATTATGCGACTGCAGTGGCAGCCCCTCTCTGTGTTTTCGACTCACAGCTCTCTGCCTGCTTTCCACTCGGGCGTGACAGAAAATGGTCCGTGAAATCCCTTAAAAAGAGTAACATGGGAAAATCAACATGTACACCCACACATCACTTATCTGCTCAACATTTTCCTCCAAGTTTATTGTAGCATGTCATGTGTGTTACTCTATTGGGATAGAGTAGTGTTGGAGCAACCTCTGAGTGAAAAAGAGAATCTGTGAGTTTATAAGAAGCTGCTTTCTGCTGCAGGCGAAATGTGAAGCTCATCTCCCCTCGTACACTCTGCTGACATACCATGCTAGTAGTCTAAAAGGGTCTGTAACTTCACATTCCAGCAATGAAACACGCTCAAGTTGTATCGATGTCTTGACTGAACACAAAACTTTTACATTATGTGCCCTTTTACCACCATGGGACATTTAGCTTTTAGCACCCTGTGCACTGTCAGGAAGAACATGTCACTTAAATTGTGTACAAGGAGGAATAAGACGCACTCTCCAGGTATTAACAGCTACACGCTGCAGTGAAAACACCGACCTTCAGACAGACTAGTTGAGCTGTCAGGTTGAGTTAACACCCCTAAAAGACGTAGTAAAGTAGACATGGTTTTAAAAGAGGGAGTTTCACAGTGAGCAAGGTCATCATTTATGTCATTACCCTGTGAAAGCACATCCAAAAAGTGTTGTTCTTTGTACTTGCACAAGACATACACCAGAATTGTTTATTTTTTTCCAACCTTATCCATTCAATGTGTGTGTGTGTTATGATATCTGACACTCTCAGACAGCCAGTAGCATGGCTCAGTGAAAGAGATGTGGAGATCACTGAACCATGGTCTGTCTTATCCTGTCACACACACACACACACACACACACACACACACACACACACACACACACACACACACACACACACACACACACACACACACACACACACACACACACACACACACACACACACACACACTCCAGACAGCCACTGAGGCCACCTAGATAATACACCTCTCCTGTGCTGGTGTTACAACATTAAATTGGGATTTCTTTTTGTATAAACTAACCAAGGGTAAAATATAATCGTACAGTTTAAGCCTGTAAATCCCGGCTACAAAAATCCTACATAATAAGGTTTTCTTATTGGCAAATGTACAAAAAAAACTACAAGCCAGCAGAAAACCCCTTTAGCAACTGTTCGCATTTGCAGTTTTCTTGACTTTTTGGCTTTCTACATAATGTTGTATACATTGGTAAAAGACGTAGCTGCTGCTACGGGGTGCCAGCCAGGTACCAAAAAAAAAGGAAAAGAAAGCTAAGTACAGTTTTGGGTTGTTGGGATCACTTTCCTCTTTGAAGAGATTGTTTTGTTACCAGGAACATTTCAGCTTTGGTTGTTTGTTGTTTGCCTGTAATGCCACATGTATCCATGTACAAACGAGAGTCGGGAGTGTTGGAGCGTGGTGTAGTCACAGCAGGGCAAAGCCTCTCAGGGAACAGGCCGCATTGGATCGATGAATTAACAAAGCATGAGGCTTTGAAAAGTGTGTGAGAGACTGCTGTTCGCTCGCTGTTTCTTCCAAAAAACTAAAAAAGCTATTTTCTTTTTAACTACAATCTGTCTACAATTATTTTTCGTTTTAACCATGGCCATGATAGTTTATTTCATTTTAATTAAGTATCTCTTTCTCCAAATGACAATCTTTTATCTTTCTGTAGCTTTAAAGGTAAACAACTCAGGGTTAGGGTTACTCCACCTACTTGCATGTTTATAAGTGACCATATCACACCATCTTCCTTTGTAGATTATTAAGGAACTGAAAGATATTTCAAAGAACAAAGTTTGAATTTTAGGTCAACTGAGGTCAAAAAGGTGTAGATCTTGATCCTTTATGGTAAATAAAGCAGGGCTCTTGGCTCTTTTTTAAAGGCATTGACAAGTGTCAGTGTCAGACAAGTGTTTTTCCAATTATCATACTGATAATACATGTATAATACATCACATTGTGTGTATTCCATTTTATAGTTCAAAGAGAATGGTTGCAAATGGCTGAAATCAGTTGTAAACCCATTTCAGGTTGATGCCCTACAAGTTCTGTTTTTTGTTAGCAATAGAGTCATTTCAAATATGAAACTACAGTAGTTCTTTACATGTAATGCAAATTAAAACATTACACTCAGTTTATGATGTCTTTAATACTTTGTGAGAAAAAAAAAAAAAAATGTTGTAACATCAAGAGCAAAGATTATATTTACATTTACAATAGTTTTGCACTTTCGCATTTAAACAGCATGTATTTCTTTGGTAGGTTGACACAAAAATATCATAAGCCCTATTTGTTTTGGCCATTAGAGTGCAACAGCAATACAAAAGTTTCCTGTAGTGAAACTTTTGAATCCAGTCTTGCCAATTTGCCGCCTTCCAGACTTTGTTATACATATTGTATTGTGTATTTTATAGAAAGCAACATGTTTTCCAGACTTTCTATTAGTTTGGTTTGTTTTTTGAGTTACTGTCGAACTATGGTCCGAAGTTTCTCTTTACTTATACACCTGCAAGGAAACAAACACTATACTGATATACATTTACATTTAAATAACAATATTTAGTCTTGTGGCCTTTTTCTCTCCTCATCAACCTCCTTCCACCACTTTCCTTCCCCTTTGTCCGACTCCTTTCAGATTTCTATCCAACACATCATTTGAGGGCCAGACGGGTTTTATATCCAGAGACTCTTTCAGCCAGAATGTCATCTCAGAGGCCCATCACTACATCTGGTCCCTCCAGCTGGACCCTCTAGGCCAGCCAACCTGGACCCGCCTGGGACGCTGGCGCAGGGGGGAAGTTCTCATGGACCGCCGGGCCTGGCCGAGCCATCAGGGATCTGGGGGCGGAGGAGACTGGCGTCGATCTGCGCGACTGCACATGCGGGTGGTGACGCTGGTCGAGCACCCGTTTGTGTTTACCCGCGAGGTGGACAGCGATGGGATGTGTCCCGCGGGCCAGTTGTGCCTCGATCCGCTCACCAATGATTCTTCGGTTGTTAAAGGATTATTCAAGAAGCTCTCGGGACGCAATGGATCTGTCCCCACAGAATTGAAAAAGTGCTGTTATGGTTACTGCATAGACCTGCTGGAGAAGCTGGCAGAGGACATGGGCTTCACCTTCGACCTCTATATTGTAGGCGATGGGAAGTACGGTGGGTTCAAGAATGGGCGGTGGACAGGATTGGTGGGGGATCTGCTCAGTGGCGCCGCCCACCTGGCAGTGACATCTTTTAGCATTAATTCGGCCAGGAGCCAAGTCATCGACTTCACTTCACCCTTCTTCTCCACCAGCCTGGGAATTCTGGTCAGTACTCCCTCTTCCTCTCTCACCCTTTCTACAGAAACTCTCTGGCTCTCTTGCTATGACCTCTCCTCAACTCTCGCCGCTTTGTATGCTGGTGGTCAGTGTCAATATTGCGGAGTGTTATTACTGCAGGCACTACGTTATTGGATTGTAATGCTATTCCCCTATGGGGCTAGGCTGGTGAGCAAACAGCTTTGTAAGGGGATCCTATTACTACAATTACCGCAAAGTGATAGGGAAATACTCTCCCCTCTAAAGACACCGCTACAGTTGTTGATATTCTGATTTACAATCCCCCTTTTTTTCTATATATTTCTGTATTTCTAACACTTTTCCCAGTTGGATAATGACACTAATTGTTGTCCAGTTGATGTTACGCTTCTGAGGATCTAGCTTTCTTGTATTTATTTGCTATTTCCTATCTGGCCTGCTACCAATTCATTCCTTCCCTTACATTTTGTGGGACCTGTATTAGCTCCTCGCTCAAATAAGTCGAGCATCATGTAAAATAATTTACTGAATTTCTGATAAGAAACAAGCTAAACACCTTAAACCGACAGATGTGGGGTGTAACACAACAAAATATACAGATAACTCTCCAATTTCCATACTCACCTGCTTTTGGATTTCCAGTCCTAACCCCGCTATATCCTCAGGATATATAAACAAAAACACAACCCAATTCAAGTTTACTTTAAGCCTTTGAAAAAACACACATGTTCTTACTTAGATATATCAGTTGGTTGTCGGGCGCTGTACAATAGCTGCCCACTGCTCCTAGTACTAGACTCCTGGTACTAGGATGGGTTAAAAGCAGAGAACACATTTCACTGTGTGTGCTGTGTGCTCTGCATGTGTGACCATTAAAGAGGGTTTCATCCCCCCCTATTCTTCTATTCTATTCTAATCCTGTGTTCCCCATGCCCAGGTTCGTACACGCGACACAGCTGCACCCATCGGTGCCTTCATGTGGCCTCTCCATTGGTCCATGTGGCTCGGCATCTTCGTTTCACTCCACGTCACCGCTGTTTTCCTCACCCTGTATGAGTGGTTCAGCCCGTTTGGTATGACCCCACGTGGACGTAACCGCGACCGGGTCTTCTCCTTCTCCTCGGCGCTCAACGTGTGCTACGCCATTTTATTTGGGAGAACGGTGGCCATCAAGCCGCCAAAGTGCTGGACAGGCCGCCTGCTGATGAACCTCTGGGCCATCTTCTGTCTGTTCTGTCTGTCCACCTACACCGCTAACCTAGCTGCCGTCATGGTCGGGGAGAAGACCTACGAACAACTGTCAGGGATACATGACCCAAAGGTACAGAGATGTGCAACTCTACAAACAATGGATGCTTCTCAAGCTGACATTTAAAGTGTTGGGGCTGTTTCTCTCTGCGGTCCTCTCATTGGTTTAAAGTTAGAAGAAGATGATGTAAGGTTCTTCCTTGCACCAATCAGGATTGAGCAACATTGAAATCCCAATCTGATGACAATTTGGGTGGTTTAGTCACTGATATTCAAATCTAATTAAACCCATAGTCAGACTTATCTCCCCATTGCACAACCACCCCGTCCTGATGGAGCAGATTCATGTTCACCTGGAGATATTTTTTTAATTTCCTTATTTTGTCACTAATATTTCACTAGCAAGAAAAATACGTAGTCAGGGCTTTAATTCAATCAAAATACAGTTCTTCTTTTTATATGTTTTTTAATTTGTTTTGGTAAATAAAGTTCACGTTTTGGTTGCCAGAGGTTTAGAAATGTTTTGACAGAATCTTCTGTTTAAAAATAGGGTTTTGAAATTGGCTAGATTTAATTTGTTTGCTCAAGGCTGAGGCCCTTTTCTTGCAAAATGTCCCTGATCCACTTAATAAAACGGCAGACTGCAGTATTTGTTATCTTTTGAACATTTCAGAAGAGCGGTTGTTTTTAACTTTAAAACTTAAATTAGGAAATTGATTATTTAATTAAACATACTTTGTAAGGGCAAATGGGGTAAGGTAACTACATTTTTTTTGTCAACTCACCAACTCTTTGAATACCAACAGTGCAGGTATATTTAGAGTCAGAAAACAAAAGAAGTATAAGTATAAAGGACTCCTGCTGCATTCGAGAATAAAAAATGCCAACTGAAGTTTAGAGAGACAACAGACTAAAATGAAAAGTAGTACTAAAAGATTCTGACAGCATTCTAAGCGTAACATCTTGGTTAATTTTTTCTTTCCTGCAGTTGCACCATCCCTCTCAGGGATTCCGATTCGCCACAGTTAAAGAAAGCAGCGCGGAGGACTACCTCAAGAAGAGTTTTCCTGAGATGCACGAGTACATGAGAAGATACAATGTCCCGGCAACACCAGATGGCATACATAATCTCAAGTAAGACAATGTCCACACACTGCACTGTAAAAGAAAAGTCCAAATCTAAAAAAAGTAGAAATGTCATCCCCCATCACCAGCTGGCCTATCTGCATTCAGAACTCATATTCCTCCTTACCCTGCCACTGCTGTCATCTTAAGCTGCTTCGACATTCCACCGGTATCCCCGCGGAGCAAAGCAGAATAAAGTGAGGGAAGGCAGCTGAAAGCAATGCCCTGGCTGGGAAGGGCACAATTTGAATGGATGAAACAAGATTTATTGATTAGAGGGTTCAAGGGGGGAAATGTCATCTTTAGATAATTACAAGTGGGGAACAATGTCTTGTTCCCCACAATATGCCGCAGTGCAGCTTTGAATACCCTGTTCTCAGAGTTTACGACCAGAGGGACAAGGCATATCACATAATCATACAATAGACCGAAGCCTCTGTTATTGTAGTACAATGCATCTCCCATTTTACTGCATTGTGATGTTACTCCATGTGGTTACCTAACTAAATATTCATGAATTGGTTAAAATAAATGAAAAATATGTTTTTATATTGCTATGGTAACCTTTATATGTACAACCAGAAGGGCACTTGCAGACATCTGCCAAGGATGTATCCTTAAGTGAAAAATATTTTGTATCTGCATGTGTTTTTCGGATCCACTCCAAGATTTAATGGGTTTCCTTCTTGGCCCACGCTAGACCGCAAAACTGAGTTTCATAAACATCAGACCAGTATTTTTTTTTCTGCAGACAGAATGAGAAACAAACCAAACAAGTGTTTAAAGTGCTTTTATTTTTACGAGAAGCCTTACCTTTATAGTTTCTTCAAATGTACATTTGAATTGTATTGGTTGTGGGGATAATGTTGGTTTTGTCCGTCCATTCCATTCTCGTAAATATGATATCTCCGGAATTATTTGAGGTTATTCAAATGTTCCACAAATGTCCACTTTGCATTTCCCCAACAGCTGACTGCTCCACCCATCTGCACACCTGTTCCCACGTTCCCCGTTAACCCTGCTGCTACCCACTCTCCCACCTGTTTCCACTTCCTCTCATCAGTCACTTGCAAGCCTTTTGTTCCTTTCACTGTATCCACTCTCTCTGAGCCCCTGTGACAAGTTTTGGATTTTGTTTACATGCTGATGACTCATCCACCATTAGTTGTGATTTTTTCAGAATGAAAGAGGTGTTCTTGCAATTCTCTTGGTTCCCATTCTTGGAAACCATGTCCCCATTCTGAATTGACTTAATGAACATGTCCAACCAGTCATTTAAACAAACAAAAACTACTAACTACTGATTTTAAATGCCATTTTCTTAATCTCTTTCATTTTTTGTAAAGCGCTTTGAATTGCCTTGTGTTGAAAAGTGCTATATAAATAAACTTGCCTTGCCTTGCCTAACTGCAGCGTGTCCGCTGTATAAATGTGAATTTTAAGAAGTGCAATCACTGAAGCGTTAGCTGCCATTAAACTGTTTGTGTTGTTGTTGCTAGCTTATTAAAGTGACAGCGATATTAGAATTTGCTGCTTTTATTTCCTTTAATACAGTCTCTTAAAAAAAGAACACATCTGAAACAGAACAGTTTATTGTATGGTTTGTTAACCTAGGTGCTAACAGGTCTTACTTACCTTGTGATGTGAAGACTTTTCCCTGACATGCATTGCATTTAAAAAATAAATTAAATTGCTGTTTCCCACATCATTTTGTATTAAGTAAAATCCTTAAACAATAATGTGCTCTGTCACCAGTTTAGTTTTCCATTAATGTCATGCTATTGCCAATACATGATTCAGCTACTTTTACAAGCATTTCTACAGGAAGAGAATAAGGTGGACGTCATGTTTTAACCATACTGGTCGGGTAATTGGTGGATGTCAAGGTAGTTTTCTGAAAATAAAATACATAACATCAATACTGTACTATTGTGGAAAGACCAAGGATATAAGCTGCAGCTTAATTCAACCTGTAATAATGAACAGCCAGCTTTTGGGTGGAAGATAGCAGAGGATTTCCAAGTGCCGTCCTTGATAAAAAGCTAAAAAATCTTGAAAAAAGGCTTTGCAGCATTTGTGTCCCTGTAGGCTGTACCTGTCAGTAAAGGGTTGATTTGTAAAAGCCTCGCTGAGAGTCTTGTGAATTAATATCTTGCCTCAGTATAACAGACTTGGAGTGAGGAATGAGAGTATATTGGCAGAAACTGGCAGACAGGCAGTCATTGCACTAGCATAAGACCAGTTTTGGGGAACCAGAAGTTGAGAGAAGTTTGTTGAATCATTTACATCCCATTTACAGTGATTTGGTGAACTGCCCTGTGAAGATCCCAAACCCCTCAAGCAGAACACTTCATTCAAACATTATTTTTAATTTGTCGTGCTCTACTTCTCTTTTTTGTTTCCTTTCTTACCAATGATTTATTGGACACAACATAAATAACCCCCCACCAGGCTGTTTACCCATTTAACTTGACCCTATTCTTAAAATGAAAAGTTCAAGACCCTACCAAAACCATCCTTTTTTATTCTTTAAACTAACTCTGAGGTTAGAAGTGTAGCATGAGGACACAAACAGAAAATATAATACTGATAGCACAAAACAGGAGACAGATGACCAAAAATAAATAAATGAATTCAATTTTCAATCCCAGTAGGTTTTAAAGGTGAATTTTCGAGAAGCTTGTTTTAAAATGTCAATCCCAGAAGATCTAAGATGTTGCTATGGAGAGAGTTATGGCTTCTTCTGTCACCATTATGTATTTGGGAGAGTGGATACCGATGGTTCATCTGTCTTTTTTGTCTATCCAGTCATCCATCAAAAACATCTCAAATGCCACCGATCAGATCGTCATAAAACTTAAGGGTATAATTCACTCTTTTGATGGAATGACTGGATACATGCATCAAGTTTGTACCCTGAAATGTGCAACAATTAGTCCAACAAGATGCATGTGGTTTGGTTAGTAAACTATTAAAGCTCCAGGACCTTTGAACTTTCAGCTCAACAGGCACCAAAAAGTAATTTTGTTCTACACTCCCATTATATTCCCTTGCTTTGTATTTACAGGGCTGATCCTCAGAGACTGGATGCATTCATCATGGATAAAGCTCTGCTGGACTATGAGGTTTCCATAGACGCAGAATGTAAGACACTAACAGTCGGGAAACCTTTTGCAATAGAAGGTAACGTATGGCTTCTTTAAATGAGACAAATTAGGGTTAGGGTTAGACAATACTGTATGTTCCCATATTTTAAGATATAGACTGATCTGACCATAGGCATTTTCTAAAGCCCTAGATGTAAGAATATCAATCACTCGACGTTTCCACAGCAGTTAATCTTCTTGCTTTCAACAGCTTAGATCCTCTACTGTCTACTGTTAATCTCTGGGTCCATTTAGCAGGCTTCTTCCTCCCACTGTGAAGATGTTCCCATGGCGTTTGCTTCCATTACAGGCCACCACAGTCCCAGATTCCTGTGTTGTTGTTAATTACTTAATGCACCCTTAAGCCTCCAGGATACAATCCAAATCAATCAGTGTACCTCCTACCAAGGCGAGGTACTTCTGTAATGCTGGATTTGTCAAACTTCCCTGGCATGCAAACAATTCTGAGATTTATTGACAATGTAAAGCAACTGCTTTCTTTTCAAGTGAGAATTGTGAGGGTAAAAACTCTCCCTTCTTTCTGTTCAGCTGTTCTTTTTTTCGGTTGAAAGAATATAATGAGAGTGCATGGAGGTGAAGTTAACAGGATATTGCAGCTGTGACAGGGGAATAGTCACATTGTATGTTTGTGTGTGTTTCTATTGGCAGGCTATGGAATCGGTCTCCCTCAGAATTCTCCACTCACCTCCAACATCTCAGAGCTTGTTAGTCAGTACAAGTCTGATGGCTTCATGGACACGCTGCATGACAAATGGTACAAGGTTGTGCCCTGTGGAAAGCGCAGCTTTGCTGTGACTGAGGTAGGAACATAAACCCCTCTTATATACAACTACCAGCCTGGTCTCATAAACAAATGTGTCAATTACGCTTTAAGGTAAAAAAAAAATCCATTCTGTGTTCCAAGATTGGCCAAATGCAATTCTGGAACCTATCGGCAGTCATGATGATGATTACGTTTTGTATTAGCTTGTAAACTGGTTACTTGCAGTCATAGACATTTTGTCCAACACTCGACCTTACATCTCAAGTTGCTTACCAGACTCTATATATGAAGTATAATTGAACGCCACACAGAAAAGGCAATCTGAAAATATTGTATATTTATTGTCCTAAATACAATGTAAAAACAGAAAGGTTGTGAGCTGGAAAACTGAAAAAATAAGCTGAAAGACACTACAACTAAAGTACTGCAGAGCTGAGGGGAACTGGATGCATTTCTCTACACATTTTTTTTTTACCTATTACAAAAAGTAATTGAATCCTTTGTTTACATAAGAATATTGATTTGTGCAGCATTAAACTAGATCGATAGTCTTTGATATACATAGCAGGATTTAGAAAAAACCTATGATACCAACTGAAACACCACTTTTTATTTGCACCTATTCCATTGGTTAGTGAGTCTGTTTATTTATCTTTTTTTTTTTCAAAAGTGTCCATACCTTACCATTCTCCTGGCTGGTATCTCAGAATAATTTCCCTGCACTGCCTGAACAACCTCTTTATTCATTCAGAGCCCGGCCCCTAATCCTCCACATGCTAACTTTGTCTCCAAAACTCCAGTCCAATACATCCCTGGCCCTGCAGTCCATTCCCTTTTGCTATTACCGAGCACTTAGCTCTCTCAGCTGCCGTCTCTCCGCCCAGCTGTGACCCAGGAATCCCCAAAAGTGCTTCTAGCTGGTTGCCGACAGCACACTCACTATTATCAAGCATTAATTAAAACTCACTCCCAAAAAAACACATCCCTCTGCCACATTTTCATTCATTTATTTCATTAGCTAGTGTGCGTCGCAAAGGCACATAACGCCATGCTGGTTGCTCATTTACATGTTTAATTAGGATACATGCAAATAACCATATTCTCATATGAGCAGAAGTGGAACACTGCAGTACACAAACTCAGGGAACCAGTTTTTCTTCTCTGTGTGACAGCTAGACTTGCTACAGATGCTATCTACAGTTGCAGACATCTAAATTGTTCGAGGTACATTTCATTTTGCAGCATCATGCCTCCGCTGACAGCAGAAGAAACTGCTTGACCAGTATTTTATTTCACCTGCGTGACATTTAATTTGAGATACAACTATATTAGTGAGTTGCTGTATATGCACATATTATAGATAGTGTTGTAAAATAAGTTATCTAGAATATGTTATATTCAATTGAATCAACTGAGTAGCAGTTTGTCAGACTTACAATGTGCTGTCAAAATGAACACTGGAAAATATGAGAGCAAACATTCACTTGATCATATTTATAATATATATTTTTATTTCACCTTTTATTTAACAAGAACACATTCTTATCTCTGGTTAAAGCTCCTTGAGGGGAGGAGGTCAACGTATCCTCATACAAAGGATTTTATGATATCTTACAGAAAGGTAATTATTTATGAAGTCCAACATCACGAGCGATTAGTAAGCCTTCGGAACACCACTTTGTTAAGCTTAGGAAACAAGATTTGTTTCCATTGAATACAAAATAAGCCTTATTTAAAGTAGTAGATATTCTGCTCATTTTCAGATTCATATTTGCATTTGATGCCTCTACTGTAATATGTCTACATGCTTTAATGTTCAAAAAGCTCTTTATTTTTCTCATACTGCCTGTGCTGCAGCACCTCTTTTCACCCTCTGTCTGAAACCAGAGCCCAGTCTGCTCTGATTGGTTAGCTGGCCGGCTCTGTTGTGACTGGTCAACAGCTTAGAGATGTCCTCTTAGTATATCACTGCATGTGTTTGTGTGCTAGCCAATAGAAGCTAGAGTGTTCCATAGTAATGTCATTATCTTACGGCAGTAAACAAAGGAGTCATATCGATTGGTTTCAGGCAGGGGGAAGAGAGACAATCCCTCTGGAAGACACTTTGTGATTTCAGCCTTTGCAGACCATTTACATGCACAGAAACCTATACACTAAAAGAAAGGGAAACCCACCAAAAACACAAAAGGGCCTCTTTTGTATGGGATTACGTAACTAATAAGCCAAACTTGACTTCAGGTTTCACATGGGACACAAACAGCGGTCTCCAGGGTGAAGATCTGGTGTCATTGGTCCAAAACATTGACTGTAAGCAAAACATGTTTACAAAAGACATCTGCCATTTCTTACAGACAAGCATTGCATTTAATGACTAGCAGTCCAGCACAAAACCACGATAAGCAACCTCAGGCTATACAACAACAGAGCAAGAGCAACATGCAGTTAGACAAACAAGCTACAGTAGAGAACAAAATATGCAGTAAGCAGCAGGCTGGCTCAGTTTAGTCCGGCTCAGCATTTTTTTTTTTGTACTTGTATTCATTGTTATAAAAGCTACCCCTCCAGCAGAAAGCCTGTGAATCTGAAAAGATGAAAAATCTGATGGATTGGCTTCACCGACGGCAGCCAACCTCACTGGCGCTCGCCAACCTCTTTGTCGCCCCAAATAATTTGCGTAATAAAATCAATACCAATAAATGACATATTATTCATTAACGAGGGCCACACTTAACATTACGGAGACATACATTGTGATCAAAGGGATGAGAAATTATGATTTTTATGTTAGATTTTTGCAGTAAATGTATGCGGTGGACTTTCAAATTATAAGATCACTGTGAAAAATAATGGTTTTATATGGTTGCATGCAGTAAAAAGAGACAGTGTGTTGCCAAAGAAATGTAGTAGAATATGTGCTTAAATGAGCTGATCCTAGGAAGCCCATCATTGTGAGTGGGTTGGCGCACAATAACTTACACTGGAGCATTACATTAGAAAAATGTCATGTATCCTCAGTAAGCTTGTCATAATGTTAAAGGATAATACCACTGTCCTTTTTATTTGTATTCCTGACTTGAAAATGTCTTCCCCGGCCGTCAGATATCACTACTGTCTGTATTTCCTGACTTTAAATCATCAGCTCCCACTCTCCACAATGTCATTACAGCCAGCTTGCCAAGTCACAATACTGCAATGACGAATTTAATCCATCATGTATTTTATTTTGTATTTGTTACCAGCATGACTTTATAATGCAATCATTGCATCTGCTGCTGTATCAGGAGCTGCTCCATACTCAGCATTAACAAAAAGATTGATATGAGAATGTACATCTGCGGTAACTGCAACCGGCACTTAATTAAGAAAAGTGTAATATCACAATAGGAGATGCCAAACTTGTAGACTGGTCGTATATTTCCCAGAGCTTTCTCCATGGTGACACATTTAGAATGGAATGAGAGCCAATTAAGATGTGAGGGGGGGAAGTGTGATATCGCAGTGTAAGTCTTTCAGAAGTGTTTTCTTAGTATAGCAGGATTTGAGGAAAGTCACAGTGAGTTCAAATAAAACTCCTACTGTTATATCCTATTTAGTGTTACTCTCTGGAAAAGACAATGCTAATTAAGCATTGTGCACAAACTATTTAACTTGTTCCCTTCTAAGTTTCCTCACTTTTTCAACTGCATTGTGTTGTTACCTTCTGATAATGACTGAGTTGAAAGCAAAAGTTTACTTTTTTTTGGAAAAACATTTGAACAACTGCAGCTTTAGTGTTTGTGGTGTTCTACTCAAATAATGGGTATATGATTCAATACAAATGTCAATTCAGCTTTTTGTTTGTGCAAGATGTTTTTAATGGGATTTTTTAAAAGAATGGGAGCCGATGACTTCTAGTTGCTGGTGAAACAGCTTAGGGATTTTTAACTATCTTGAATACATCACCCGGTTCAGACATACAAAATATAATTACAGTAGTATTATCATGAGCTCGAGAATCATTTTTCTCATACACAATCCAAAGGCAAATGTCACACCTATTACTGAAAACAACATGTGCTTATTTAAGATAAGGATGCCAAAACACATGCTGTATGTCAGTATTTTTCTGAAATTACTTTTTTATTACAATAAATAAAAGATATTCACTTTATGTCAAATGTTTTATTTTGTGTTTTTACCACAATGCAGCAAAAACATAAGGGCTGGATATTCTTTATTCAGTGAAGTACCAGTACAGGGTTAACATTTTTTTTTTTTACAAGAAACAGTCCTGCATTCAAAATCGTGTTCAAGTAGAAGTTAAACACGTGAGCATAAAGATGTACTTTAAATACAGAAAGTAAAGATACTCTCCATGTCAAAATTGTATATGTTATATACAGTAAAGCATGCATTAATGTGTACATAACACTAATGCAGTTTGAATAAGTGTTAGCCAATTTGAATTGCTTCATTACATTACATGTTACTTGTTAGACGCTTTTATCCAAAGCGACTTACATACTCAATACTGTGGACAATCCCCACAGGAGCAATTTGGGGTTAAGTGTCTCAGGGACACAACGACATGCTGACTGCAGTGGGGTTTGAACCTGATCCGAACACCTGCGCACAACTCACTGTGCCAAACGCCGCCCATATGCCGCTGGGTAGCTTAACACATGCATTAACATATATCAGTGGATTTACATGTTGCCTTATTAATGTAAATCTGCAAAGTAACTAGTGCCAAAAGTAATTTAGATGTGGAGTACAAAGTATAAAAATGGCCTCTGAAATTAAGTGGAGTAGACAAAATTAAAGTAATTTACAACAGAAAAATGAAGGTATGGTACTTCAAAATTGTACACAAAACTGGGGTAAATGTTCCTAGTAACAGTACTGAGGGAGTTTGTATCATTTTAAGTCCCAGATTTGTGATACTTCCCAGACTTTTAAAGACAACTGTTCATAAGAAGAAACAGATTTGCACAACTGATCTCTTTTTCTGTGTCTCTATCTTTCTTCTCTCCAGACGCTGCAGATGGGAATAAAGCATTTCTCCGGTCTGTTTGTGATGCTCTGTGTGGGCGTGGTTTTGTCTCTTGTGACCACAGTAGCAGAACACATTGTGTACAAGCTGGTGATCCCGAGGGTCAAGGAGCCACGCTTCAGATACTGGCTGCACACGAGCCAGGTACTACACACACACACACATTTAGAACAAAGTGAAGCACCCTTTGGATCATTACTAAGTAAATAACCATGAGTCTGATTATTTAAGTGAGTGAATGAAAGTAGCCGTAATAGAATGTCAATGTACTCCACTTTTCTACTTTTGCACACACTGCATGTCATATTCCGATTAAACATCAGAATAATAGCTGATGTGTTTCTTGTTTTCCAGAGATTACACCGAGCCCTTAATTCAGTCTTCAACGATGACCAACTGCCGACTGTAACCAAGCCTGATAAGAGGTACTGTCCCCGCCATTGCAGGAATCAATACAATTTCATTTTTATCAAATAAATCCAGCAGACTGTAATGTAATGTTTTTTTTAAAATAATTTGAGGTCAATCATATTCCTAAGGGATTGAACTCAATATGAACCAAGCCCAGTTTCGATTGCTATCTTTTATGACCCATTTAGTGCACTTTCTTTTGACTTGGGAATTTGGCTTGTTCAAAATCTTACAGCAAGTATACAACAGAAACAAGCGCGCCACTAGCTTAACACAGCTCTAACATTTTAAGAATCCTATCAAGTAAAATGTTACATTTGCATGTCTTCTAGTTGCTTTATAAAGACGCAAATGAAAATGCACACAGTCCCTATTCAGAAACCATTCCTTTCAATGAGCCGTCATGCCTTCCTAAAGTTAATGTCACAATTACACACTTATAGGTAAATAGTGGAGTAGCAATGTTGTAACAGGACAGCCAGAAAACCCTGACCAATCCTTACATTACATTGCATTTAGCTGACGCTTTTATCCAAAGCGACTTACAATAAGTACATTCGACCAGGAAGACACAACCTTGAAGAAAACAGAATCATATAAGTACATCAGGTTTCATAGAGCCAAACATTTCAAGTGCTACTCAACTGGCTATAGATAAGCCAGTCCTTTATTAGTATATAAGTGCTCTGTTAGCAGTTCTTTGTTAGTAATTATATCGCTCGAGGTGGAGTCGAAAGAGATGAGTTTTCAGTCTGCGCCGGAAGATGTGCAGGCTTTCTGCTGTCCTGATGTCAATGGGGAGCTCATTCCACCATTTTAGAGCCAGGACAGCAAACCCACGTGTTTTTGCTGATGGGAACTTGGGTCCCCCTCGCAGCGAGGGCGCAGCGAGCCGTTTGGTTGATGCAGAGCGTAGTGCACGCGCTGGGGTGTACGGTTTAACCATGTCCTAGATGTACGAAGGGCCAGATCCATTGGCAGCATGGTACGCAAGTACCAGTGTCTTGAAGTGGATTCTAGCAGTTACCGGAAGCCAGTGAAGGGAGCGGAGGAGCGGAGTGGTGTGGGAAAATTTAGGAAGGTTGAAGACCAGGCGAGCCGCTGCATTCTGGGTGAGCTGCAGAGGTCGGATGGCACATGCAGGTAGACCAGCCAGGAGGGAGTTGCAGTAGTCTAGGCGTGAGGTGACGAGAGCCTGGACCAGAACCTGCGTCGCTTTCTGAGTCAGCTGGGGACGTATCTTCCTGATGTTGTAAAGCGTGTATCTGCAGCAACGGGTTGTAGCAGCGATGTTTGCAGTGAAGGACAGGTTGTTATCTAGGGTCACACCCAGATTCCTTGCAGTCTGAGTCAATCACAGCAAGCTGAATGTGTTATTAAGGGTCTTAAAGAGACAGGCACTAAAACAAAGCATTTCAGTCAGAGAAATACAGGTATATTCCTACATACAGTTTGAGAAAAATAATGTATTTTTTTTTAACATTAAAGCATGGAAATATGTTCTAGTAGAAACCCAAAGTACAAATAGGGACCTGAAAATTAGCATAATATGTCCCCTTTAAGTAATGCTTTGTAATATGTTCATCCATTACTGTTGGTAATTATAGTGGATAGCTCCAATGTTTCCAAAAATGCCATTAAACCACTGCAGAAGACACAAAACGTGGTTAAAATTATAGAAACGTAGCAAATAACAGCATGACAAAATCACTAGAGTAATAACTGAAATTGAATCCCTTTCCATCCCATTTGTGCTTTTTTTTTCAAGTTTACAAACTTTTCCACGGTTTTTACTCAAATAAAAATTGCTTAATTACACAAACACACGTGTTTTAGTGTGCATTTGTACTCATACGGAGTTTTATCAGGTCACTGCACCCTCAACCAAATGCAATTTATTTTCCCTCCATCTCACATCTTATAATACCATAACATAACTGCAATAGAAACAGAAGACAAAAAGAAGATGCAAGGCTAAAATCTAGGGTATCATTAAACACATCACATACTGTATGTGCCCATAATCACTCAAAATAAAATGTCTGGCAGGAAGCCAATTTTCCAAACTTAGACAGCCCAATGGCCAAATTATCCGGCTGTGAATAAGTGACATCAATTAACATCCAGTGAAGGGACCCGTTTAATCAGGAACTAAATAGAATGGTCAGTCTGTTGGAAGCTAATTATCAGTAAGGGAAATTGAGGGAATAATCTCCTGCTGACGTAGCGGCGTATTGTTTGGCTCAGTGGGTGACAGAGAGAGATTTAGTAAATCATGAAAGCTCCTTTTGGGTCTGTTTCTTTTCAAACGTTGCAAATGGGTGCACTTTATTACGGTTTATGTAACTAATCTGGACCGTCATTTTGACATCAATACAGTGTCTCTCATAAAATGATCCCCTTTTATTCACATTTGGTCGCTTCTGCCATTGCCAAGTAGCGCTTTGCTATCCTACAGCAAGCAAAGTAGGACATTTATTACTCTTTTTATGGTCTCTAAGGGGAGATCAAAACAACCCTCAAGCTTTTTCCGGGCAAAAGAGTTCCATTTCATCTTCCTCTATTTAAATTCTGCTTTACACCTTTCCCTACTTAACACCATCGCTGAGGGGACACTCAGGTGGAGCACTCAAAGTGGGGATTAAATACACGTAATAATTATGGAGCCAAGGCTGTGTGAGGGATGCCGGTGGTAATGAGGATAGATTACCTACGGCTGCCTGATTTAGCTCATTCAATCAAGCTCTTCTGCCCCGTGCCTGCACGCTGTCTATAAGTCAGAAATTATTACCGTCATGTTGCCGGTGTCTCATAGAAACCTGGTGTGTCTGTTTTGCAAACATTGAACAGAAATATGTTCAATCTCTCCATTCATGTGATGATATTTAGTGATCTTAATAGCTCCAGCTTGAGGTCTGTTACCAGAAAAAACATGTGGTGCATAAACACCTGTTTTATCAGCATTATAACAAAGAGGCACTCTTCAACCAAATGGTGCATTTGGGTACACATGTAATTGGTTGAAAAATACTTCTTAGGATAGGGCTTAACATATTTTATTCCTGAATGTTTCAACAAATATGGCAGAGAAAAAAGAGATTAGGGAAGTGTATGTCTGAAAGAGTCCAATGTCAAATTAGGATTTTGTGATTTAGAACTAAACACAGTGTTCAGGTCATGTAGATCCGACAAGGACCTTTTTTACTCACGCTAAGAAAATATCATATGTCACTATTAGTACTGTACATCAGTTACAATTCAACTCTTTGATGGAGGGATTACATGGGATAGGATCATTGCTTCCCCTGTTTATACTTCTTTAAAATTACTATTAAATTAGCGTTTTCTACATTGCTTTGAAACCTAGTTTTTAACCCAAATGTTTTGAGTTATCGATCATTCCGTCCCATTCTCGTAAACGCAGGATGAAAGGAAAGAGTTATTTTCTAAAATGTTGCACAAACATCACTTTGTTACTTGAGTTTGGTTTTGAAAGATCAGAGCTCAACATCACTTTATCCTAACAAAACAAGTTTCTGGCCATAATGCGAGAATTCAAACACTTATCATGCAGAATTTCACACAAAGGCCTAAGGATGAAATTATGAAGAAATGGCATTTTATATTCAAAAGGTCAACTGCACCTTGCTGTTAGTGTTCCTTATTGCCTTTATAATTAAAGAATATCTCACATCTTCAAACCTTTTTAATGTTGGTCTCCATTTTGCGCAACATTCCAGCTGTTTATTCATTGTTTAGAATATCTAAAGTATGCAATGTCTAGTTAACACTTTGTATTGAGCTTTTGATGACTCACCTATGAGTGTACATACAATTCCCTCAAGAGTTACATTTCAGGGCAATGAGAGGGACTCTGCAGAGTTGAAATAATTGGGCCAGCTTTGTTCTCTCCTGTCTCTCCTGCTGTGTTCGCACACCATCACAATTATTTGAAAGGAATCAGAAAAGATAAGACCTACAGTATAACAGTTTACTGCAAGAAGACAACATTCTACATTGTTTTCAGCCTCCGCAGAGCGGTCAAGAGGTCATTTACAGCTGTATGACCTTCTTGTTGGGATTAAATATCTTGCTCAAGGTCACTCCAGCAGGGGGCTTGTCTAATGTGTCCTGCTTGTTGAAGGACTCCCTATTCACTGAGCTACAAGCTGACGCACATCTGTACTGACAGATGGGTGGGGAAAAAGAAATCAGTGGTGAAGTATTTGGTTCCTAGAGAACTGCTGCAGGGAAACACGAGCTGTGCTTTTCATAAGTCGCACAAATGAACGAGACATAATAATATTTGGAAGTAGCCTTAGATTCTGTATTGGTGTCTGTTGATCTACAGTAGGTTGCAACTGAAATAATTTGCTTAGGTATTCAACCTTTGACACAGTTCATCATTTTCTCCTCTCACTGTCTCCTTTCTCATGGCATGGGTCTATGGCCTTGGGTATTGCTGCTATCTCTCTTAAGGAGGAGCAGCTTGGGCGCATTGTTGTTGCCAGTCTATGACAGAGCACAAGCCGCCATGAGGTAGTTTACTGTTCAGGGACGTAGGTTCCCTGACGCACATTCTTTCCTATGGACGAGAGCTCTAGTTAGATTCAGGGTCCATAATGCTTTAGTCTCACTGATGAAGAATGTTGATTATTACACTCCGAACTAGTTAAAACCTCGAGCTACAGAAAGAGTTCTTCAGAATTGGTTTGGCAACCGCTGTGTCAACTCGTGACACACCACCTGTCTTGTCAACTCTCCGGCCGTAACTCCAAATAAACCATCAGTGTTTGCCATCAAAGCTCCAGCTTGCCCCGTGTCTCCTTCATGAGTCGGTGACTCCCACTGCATTGCTACACAGAAGTTTCTCCCACAGCAACATTATTTGTGAAACCACTGCTGACGGAGAAAAATCCATATTTATGAAATTGTAAACGAAGAACTGGAGATAATTTAATGCGAGGAATCTGGTGAAGTTGCAAAGTGGATGTAGGCGGGAGCAGATATCTCTGAAAAGGATGTGGACGATTGTGCAAACTGTATATTATTTTTGTATTTTGTAAGGAAAGACTTGAGAATATTTGCAGTTCTCCAGCAGATGTGAAAGCAACATTATATCCCGGTAAATGATAAGGTAGAAATATGCTGACTTGCAGCTGTGTATAGGTGCTCTGGCATCTTCACATACATAATGTAAAACCAAGGGCCCTGTTTGTTTCCGACTGAGAAAAGTAGACGCCCTCTGATGTGAGTGAGAGGAACACTATAATGAGCTTTACGTTTACAAACTTATTTTCCGCACCATCTAGGTGAATAATGATGTAAAGGACATGAAAACACTGCAGAAATAATGATTTGTATTTCAGCGTGCTTTCCATCTTTTAAACACTTTGCAAGTTGCACGGCACTTTCTGACCTTGGCATCATTATTTCTTCTGGGAATCTCTAAGAGGGAACAAAGAAAGAGTTGGTGTTTTCATAGTATATTATATAATAAATGATCACGTCCATTCACATAATGAAAGTCGAACAAGCTCCTATTCCATATGAGAGTGAGGCAAGGACTCCTAAATGCTAAATAAATCAACTCAGAGGCTGGGTGAATAAGAATTATCTATATTTGCGTCACGTTTTGAGAACAGCGACAAAATGCTTTCAATATGAATGATAAAAAGAAAAAAGCTTATCAATCAATAGAAGTAAAAACAAGCCATTTAAAAGGTATAAGAGGTCGAGAGGAGGTATTTAAAGATAAAAGCATGACGGAGTGTCTCTAAAGGTGACTTCCAAGCAGTTATCTTAAAGTCTGATGTGTCCACTCTCATTGAGACCCAATAGCACAAAAGCTAACTGAAAAAACAACTGTTTCTGTCTAGACGTTTGAACGCCAACAAGGGACCTGCTGTTTTATTTCATGCCATCAAGTTCATACACCCTCACGTAATGCTTCTTAAGAATCTGAAATTGGGGTGATTATCTTGAGACTCTAGGCTAAAGCAATTTGATACGTTTTACCTCATTGCAAAAGGATTCTCTCTTTCATTGCAGCCGTGATGTAAGCACAGGTGCCTTCTTGTCAAAAGTTGCAAACATCATTTTTAAGATAAGGTTATTTTCATGTTCCTCTTCTCTGACGCCTCATCATTCAGGTGTCTTTTGATGTCAGTGAGTATCTCATTAGATTCTTCTTGTCGCTTTTTTATCGCTATGGAAAGCTCCTTTGATTCAGAGAGGTGAGGGGAGTCTCTTTTTCTACGTCTCTCAAATGAAATCAAGGTTATTTCTCACCTTCAGATCTGCTTCAATGGATATAAAAAAAAAAAGTCAGAACTACCTTGACTGCAGGAAAAAATATTTGTGTTGCTTTATGTAATAGTTTGGGAGATCCAGAGGCTTTAAAATGTTTCTGTTCATATTGTACAACTAGTGTACCATTTAAACCCAATAGTAATCTACCATTCTTCTCAAAAAGCAACGTTTGAATGAGAACTCAGGATGTTAAACTTACTCACCACTTACCAGCCAAAACACCCCATAACGTTATTTTTAATAAAGCACTAGAAAATACCATACAGTTCATTATGTTTAAGTCTGACTGTGTGTTACGTCCCCACTAAGGTCTAGGGGACCTGGAGACAATAACATACAACCAATAATTAATGAGGGAGTCAGCGTAACAGTTTACAAAAGGTTTATTTTGTAAACCCAGAACCGAACAGACATGTAACTGAAACCTTAGTTGGTGAGGAGGAGGAGGAGGAGGAGGAGTCAAAGGATTGCGCCAAACAAAAGAAACAAGCATAACAAAACCAGGCCTATCTCTACATCTATCCTTTGAAACCAAAACTCATACAAAAACCCTCACTAACTAAACTACAAAGACTTTGACAAAACAATATACAGGGGTGGCAACAATCTGCTAACCTAGTGTGTCTAAACATTTGTTAGCTACGTGGTGAGAAATGTACAGGGTACCCCAGACTTACCTAACTCCTGCACCTCTCAACACACACACTTTCAAAAAGGTCTGACAATACAAAGTGAATTAGTGGCTAAACACTGCAGGCTCCTTCATCAGCAACAGGCCCAGAGTGAGAGAGCGAGAAGACTTCCTGGGTGCCTCCTTTATGGTCGGCCCTGGCTGCTGATAGGCCAGCTGAGGGGGAGAGGATCCAATCAGCCATCAGACTCAGGTGCACAGGCAGATACCAATCAGCTGCTGATTAGCTGTGCAGAAGACAGGGAGAAGAGAGAAACACAGGAGGGAAGGAAAACCACACCAGTACAGCCTGCCTGGCACGTAACACTGTGTCTGAATATAAAATTGGGTTTTCTCTAGAGCTACTGAGATACGGTAGGTCTAACTATGCTAGACTTAATGTGCTAACCAACAGATACATATTTCAATTATAACTATATATTTGGAATCAAGTATCTGGATAAAGACTGAGGCTGCCTCCAGGAAAAACATTTCCATGGTTTTGAGAAGCAAGGACACTCTGGTATTTTCACTAAACTCAACACCAGCCTTCTGTTACATCCAATCATGTATTGCAGATGTCACTTTATTTCTGCTTTCTTCCTATCAAGTTCTGATGCTGTGTAGAAGACACAAAATAGAAGCTTTGGGCAAAAGTTCAAAGTGACTCGATGTGAAAGGAGTTTCTTATGGTCAGTGCAATCAAAGGTATTGGTGTGACCAAGGACGACAATGTCAGGCTGTTTTTTTTAAGTTTGTGTAGCTTTGAAGCTCTATTTTATTTTACACATACACTTTCTTTGTAAATAAAACCTAGTTATGCAGGGTGATTGAGTTGAAAAGACGGCTAGGCAAGGGCTGTTAAATGGAAAATGATGGATCACTCTGTTGGTCCATTCCTACCTTGCATGAGCACGAAGAGAAAACATGACAGTTTGAGGGAATTTGCAAGCGGGAATACAACATTATTATATTATTGATATTGTGACTGACACCTCACTCCTCCAACTCACGGTGCTCCTGCTGGTGCTCATTAGGGTTAAAGATGAGGGTAGACCTCCAGGATGGATGGGAGAGGTCGGCCGGGGTCAGTGTGAGTCCAGGAGGATATTAATTGGACATTCATTCGTCCAGTAAGGCTTGTCATTCAAGGTCTACTTATTTGATCTTGAAAACCAGCATGTTTTGGGGGGATATTCATCATTGCTATTCATTAATGCTTATTTGCCTTATATGTGACATTATTAAGACTTAATACAGGCTTCAGTTCATGCATGACTGCTCAAGCTGCAGCATTACAATCATCAGTTTCACAATGTTTATTGGAAGCCATTATAGTTGAGCTAGACAAAATATATTTTCTGGCCAAAATATTGGTGATGTGATCATTAGGGCAAGCTAGTCTGAGCGCAATAAATGAATATGTGCAGCTTAATGTCATTATGGGGTCAATCAAATGATTGGACCACAAAATCTACTATCATATATTATAATAAGAGGAGAATCAATCATTTAACCTATTCAGACAATATTTGCCAGAAAAGCATGGACTTTTAAAACAAGTCTAAGAGGCAAACGCTAGCTGCTCTATGAGGCTACAGTACTGCTTTGAGTAAAATGTTAACATCACCTGATATTTCTTTATGTATCTGTCCTATCTCCAGGTGCAATGAGGGAAACAACCAGTCAGCATGTTGGAATCCTTCAGAGTCGTCCCACTGCAACAGGCGTAGGGTCCTTCCTCAAGAGATGCAGAATGACCTGGAGCGCCCAACCTCCCAGGAGCTCCCTGGACCACCACCGCCATCCCCTCAGTCTCATCCACATACGTTCCCCCTACTGGAGAAGCACCTACCCATAGTGACCAACACTAACGGTCGCTCTGACCTGCTGGGGCGGGGGTTGGGCCAAGGACTTGGGCCAGGGCAGGGTGGCTCCGGGCAGGGGACGACCGTGGGCAGGAAGCCGCTGGTCCAGGAGCTGTCAGAACTTGAGGGTCAAATCCTTGTTATCAAGCAGCAGCTGCAGACAGCAATGAGAAGGAAGCGAGAGCTAGAACACTACCAATCAGATAACCAGCAAGCAAACCAGACTGCACACAGTCAGCCCACTACTCACCAGTCTAACCAGTTTGCTCAGTATACCCAGCCCCACGAGCAGACTAACCAACACACAAACACACTACCCGAGTTCTGAAAATGTTCTCCTTTGTTCTGCCTAGACAAATGTGATGAGACATGGGACAAGTTTCCTAAAAGGTTATGGAAAAGGATCCTTTCATGAGTTTTGGAGATGGAGCCTTAACCTTCTGGAAGTTGAATCCTCCTCCGGAGTTCCCCTGATTGCCCAACTGAAACGTTCCCCAGGGATCCTGCTCTGTCACTCCAGTGGAACATTTCCTGACTTCTGGAATGTGTGATTCACTAATACCACAGCCATTGGACAAAGGTGAACCAGGGACCCTGAACCAAATCTGTCCTCACTAGCGTGTTGCTGTTACTGAAAAGCTGTCCAAAGTTTCCTCTTCATTACCCTTGCATTCCCCATTTTTTTTTTTTTACACCTCACTGATCCCTTAATTTTTTTCCTTTGACTTCCATTCCTAATGCCCTCCACTTCGTCCTTCTCATCCCTTTCCTCTAAGCCTTGTCTCTTCAAGGGTAAGAGATCTGCTTGCAATGACGATAAGCTTGATCACAGATATGAAGACCGGTATTTAAGCTTAATGGGCTAATTCGCCTGAGTCTTATGCTGAGACTTATTGAGAGTGTGAATGACCTGAAGTTGAACCGATACAGTTAAGTCTGTATGGCCTTGCGCTGAAACCTTGTACCTTTTGAGGAGGAAAGAAAATATATTCAATTGCTGGTGATTGATGTATCGGTTGATTTGATTGATGACCTAATGAATCTTGCTTATGACAATGCAGCTTAGGTCATTTATTTCTCGTGCCACTTTTTGAAGGTCGTTGGGGCATTTGCTATGATGAAAGAACAAGGAATCAAAATTCAGAAAGAAACGTCTTTATTCATCAAGAACATCTGGATGGCATCTTGTTTTGTGGATCACTATGTATGTTGTCCTGCACTTCACCGATGCACTTCTGGTTTTTAAAAGAAAGCTGCACCTGTGAGTCATCATTTAACTTGTCAGATTTTGATTTGTGGTCTAGATGGTTTTTGTCTTCAAAGGTTTCAGTGTTATAAACACAGGATCGGAAAAAGTATTACAATCTGTTGTAATAAATCCAAGAGTCTTTTCAATCAGGGATCCAAAAACAGGACATTTTTACCCACCATCTTGAAATCATACCGGTGCTCTCGCAATCTCTACCATTCGAACCACCAGAACTACTGTTTTGTTTTTGGTGCAATCACAATGTTGATTAGTGAAAGTAACATAAACATGGACCACTGGTCAAACTCTGACATTTTATTTGAATATGATGATCACTCATAACCGAACACGATGAAACAGTCTCACTGTGAATTTTCTTGCGTCTTTGAGTTTGGATGTGTCCAATTATTAAAAAAACATACCTCTCTTCTTTGCACTTAATTGAATTGAAGCATTTTCTTTTTCTTATGTGATTACGTGTAAAAATACAACTTAAAAAAGATAAAAGAAAGCAGAGTGTAGGAGGATAGTGAGGCTTTTAGCCTTGTGCATACTTTAGTTACGACTTATTTTTGCTTCCATAACCTTGGAACTGTTTAGAATCTTCTCCGTTCAGTTCTCTTAAAACCTGATTTCAAAAGAAAATTATATTCTTTTTTTTACTGATTTGAGGGATGTGCTTTCACGCAGAGGTAAATAGTGTTCAGCTCATTACATCCAGGGTACACCAGTCAAACAGTGCATTACGGATTTTTCTTATTGGAATATATTACATTTTTAAAGTTAGTCATTGAGATTCAACTGCAGTAACTAATTCCTTCCGATTTAAATAGATCCCATTATATTTTTTTAAAACACCCTGAAGCTACAAAAAAACCCAGTGAGAGTGTATTTTTTCCTGCATTGACATGATATTTGGTTGATGCACTATTCTTCATTCATATTGCTAGGGGACAGCCATTTGGGCAGGAAAGCGTACTCAGAAGAGCCAAGGATGACATTTTATAAACACACGGCATGGTCAAATTCTGCCAAACACACACAAACACAAGCAAACACACACAAAATCCCTATCTGTTCAGCCAGTGTGTCTGCAGGGTAAGCGCAGGCTGTCACAGCTGAAATGAATACCTGACAGTGCAAAAGAGCAAGTGCACTGGCTGAGCCGTCAGCTCTCTTTGGGTTTGTGTGTTTGCCTTGCTTGGCGGTGACATAAACATCACAGCACGAGTAACAGGATGAATCAACAGAAAATAAGATCACGGTTTTAGCGTGTCTATGCTCATTCTAGCATGTGTGGTTGGACAGTAGGGTTGTATGGAGAGGAAATGCCTACCTCATTGAATACAACTCAGCACACAACAGAAAAATGGGTCATATTGACTTTTTGGGGTCCCGCCTGAACATATGTTTGCTAATCCATTTCTTCTCATTTGTTCTCAGAGGCAATAAGGTAATCAGGCATTATGTTCACATTACACGCATTAGCATTTGTTAGTACACAAAATAAATGTCAGTTTGTTTTTTTGTTCAAAGACAACCCTGAAGGTTTGTTGGTCCTCTCAGAAACTTTCATTATCACGAACTCATCGCATCATGCTTGAGTACATATTTGAAGAACATTTAAAGGTCTTCTATTATACTCTTTTTCATCAATATATTATAGGTCTCTGAAGTGTTTGGTTCCAAATACCAAACAGATCATTGTAGCATCCCATAATCCCCTCTGTTTCAGCCCTGTTTCAAAAGTGCTGATTCTCTGTCTGTTACTTGAGATGAAAATAAGGAGCCACTCCCCACGCCCCTCTGAGAGAGATTTGGTTAAAAAGAACACAATGGTGCTCTAGGAGGAGATTCAGGTGATAAGGTGTGGGGGGGGGGGGCTTACCTTGGTTGGTTATTGGCTAATGGTTACACAAGCCAAAAAAAATCGTTATGACATAAAGTGGCCAAAATCTGATTAGCTCATTTTCAGACATGTTTACATAAATGGATCAGGACAAAAAGTGTGTGAATCTTTTTTCCTAAAACTTTCAGAATCTCTTTACACAGAGGGGATACGTGTATAAAAGACATGAAAAAGTGAATTTTGCACAGTGGTATTTTTTCCACTGAACCAAGCCCTTAGGAAACATCTATCGCTCAACTGCGTACTTCCAACTGCACCCTATAAATGTACCATCCTGCAAATATTCCCTCTGTGTACCATTCATTCTATCAAAACAATTGTCGACGTTACTCCCATTCACTTCTATTGAAACCATTGATGGCTTTACTCCAATTCAACTGAATTAACCCACGACCGTCAACCGTTGAGCAATTGACCCTGAACCCTGTGTATCATGTGTGTGTCATCCCTAAGTACATGTATAGTACAATATTACTACGAAAACCAGAAACTTCTTACAGATTCAAGGCAATTTTGTTCAACAAAATGTGATAGTATGTTAATGTTAACACGCCTTTAGGCTGTTGATGTAGATGACACATGGTTTGAGGTTAGGTTGGATTTGTATTCAGCAGAATAATTATGGTTGGGCTGTCTGCACACACAACTCAGGGCACACACAATGGAGGTAAAGAAAATAAGTATCTAATACATATTCAAACAAACACAAGGGCAGACATGTTTTCCATTTTGTAGGCAAGGTAACTTGGTAAAACTGGGCAAACAGGATGGAGTCCTGCTCTCTGCCATATTCATTTTGTATTTCAGTTTGAAATTAAAATTGGAGAGGACTGAAGCTGTTGTTTATAACCCACTATCAGCCGTGTCCTCGCCCACAATGTTTTATAGGATAAACAAAGTTACCACTTTCCTTCCAGCACACAAAATGAATAAAGACACAAGAGAACACATTGTTGCTACTGACTATTTAATTTGTGGACAAACCAAGAAAAAAAAATATATGTTGCATTTCAAATGAAACGCTTTTTTTGTTTTGAAAGTAAAAAGACGTTGATAATCACAATGATAATGAGCATAATTGAAATCATGAATAAAACATCTTGACTTCTCTCGTCATGCTGGGCGTATCTTCCAATGGGAAATGGAGTCACAACATTGCATCACAATCCACTGGTGGGTTGGGGGGGGTGCCTCGAGGAGGAAAAGTGAAGCAGGAGTCATTAGCCTGGTTTCCATTAAAAGGGCTAGCCGGGCCTCGAGTAAATCACTCTGATTTACTCCAAAGAGCACTTCTTTCTCATTTCCTTTTTTCATGTATTTTACAAGGATGTATTTCACTGGGATTTGAGTTTAAAGTTATTCATACAGTCATACCAGAGACGTCTTCAGTTAGATCTGGCACAGGCTAGCCCCACTGGACCTCTTCATAGAAAGAAAATCTTATCAACATCACAGTGAATCAGGAAATTGGGGTGAAACACACTCATAATGAGAATTTCAACCAATCATATATCATTGTGGCTGATGGCATGACACTTCAAGTGCCAAACCCCATTTACTGACTCTAAGGATGTCGCTGACTCTTCCTTGTCGCTTCCTCCAACAGGGAGAGGTAACGCTCCCCATAACACCTAAACTGATACCAAAACATATCCAGGTTTACACAGCAGGCAAACAGGTCCAAATGGATCATAATAATCATACAGATTAACAAAAATCTTTACAAAATATGACCTGACACGGTCAGTTAATGTACAGAGAGAGATAATAAAAAGAAGGATTCTGTCTTTTTTTCCTGTACAAATGACAAACATCACAGAACAACAACATCAATATTTTTTTCCATAGCACATTTTTTCAGACTGAGGGGGAATAGATGTGGCGATCGACGAGGCAAGTTACCTGACAGGATGTGATGTAAGACAGAGTGAGTTAGCCAACAGGAAGTGCGCAGGTTTAACACCGTCAGGATAGGCTACAGCACTCGCTCATACAAAATGTACAAAACACCGTCCTCTAACTACAAACAGCACACCTTGGAGGGAAAAAAACGTCTGATGTTTCAAATAGTTTCAATATCTGGAACAAAAATCTGTGCTTAAGTTTGCTTTGTGATATTTTTGATGCAATGGATGTGCCTTGGCAGGTAGAATTGAGCATAGCCCAACTTAATAAGAACCATTAGAAACATGGTGCATTTAGTCCCTCAGGTGATTTAAACAGATATATCAGCAGTGTTTTTTTATTAAGCATTCGGAGCCACGTGGCATGCGTCCTCATCATTGTGTCTGGAAGTGCTGTGGAGACGCAAACGTGACCCGGTGCTGCCCCCTTAGTCATGTGACCTCCGTCATCGATGCTGAGTGGTTCTAAAAACGGACGTGGAAGAATGGAGGAATGGAGAAAAAGAATAGGGATTGACAGAGATGAGAAGGAAGAGGAAAGGAGAAGGAAAAGGTGAGGAAATAAGGAGAAAGAGGGAAATCATTGTCCAACAGTATCAGGAGTGCTCTGTGTGTCTTTCTGTGCATTTGGAATGGAGGCAGGGGTGTAGTGCAAAATGTCATGCTTGTATTTTCTTCTGAAAATGTGTCACTGCTTTGTATGGAAAGAAAGTAAGAAAGAAGGAAAGAAAGAAAAAAGACAGAAAGATAGAAAGAAAGAAAAAACACATGGTGACTAAAAACCCTTCTTTAGCCGATTGAAAGTACATTACAACAAATTAGAGAATGGCAAATTACAGTTGACTAATTTCCAGTTTTTTGTTTTGTTTTAAGCTTAAGTCTCGAGGGAGCTTTGCCAATTAATTGGGAAAGATAATGTGCATCATGGTGATAAAGTTTCTCGGAAATCCAGGTTAAGTGTTTTAAGGTACCTGTGCGCTGAGAGTCTCCAGAGGGCTCTCTACACGGGGGAAAGTCATCAGAGGCAGGCCACGGTAGTCTTCAGTTTTCTGTTTAGCCGCTGCACTGTGGACGCCTTTGAAGTTGTTCACAACACATATACCCTGTAAGGTATAAAGACAGTTCAACGTGAATAGCAAGGTAAGCTCACAAAAACACAGGTTTTAAATGAGGGAGTTTGGTAAGTGAGAACTTTGTCAATGATTCAATACATTTCATCTCAAATAACTCAAGGTAAAAGCATAATGTGTACCCAGGCTAGTTTGGTCAAATAAATCGTTGATGTCCATTCCATTCAAACCCAGAAACATAACTTGCTGGTGGCGTGAGAGGAAAATTCAGGCGATCACTAAGGTCCGTCGGCTTCATTGAATTAGGAACATGAATGTCTGTACACAAATTTTCTAGCATGCATGGACATATCAGTCAAGACAAAAGAGGTGGTCTGACATTGCCGTACCTGCTGCTAGCATTTCTTAAACTGCATGCTGTCCAACATTCTTACCAGCCTCTATAAGGAAATACAAGTGTGTGTATATACACCGGGCCCCTAATTAACATTTGTACTTCCTGTTATCAGACAAAATTGTGTAATTCAACAGATAATACAGTGTT